GGGTCGACTCCTCAGAGTGACCCTCCTGGCCCCTCTTCTCTGTAAGAGTTGTGCAGTTGGTTACTGTCTTTGCCGTCCCGGTTACCGTCACCGCTGCGACAACATCTCACATACTTTGGACATGTTATCAGGAGGGATCAGTCTCTGGAGAAGGACATCATGCTTGGTAAAGCAGAGGGTCAGCAAAAAAGAGAAAGACCCTAAATAAAGTGGATTGACTGGGTGGCCACAATAATAGGCTCAAGTATAACAACAATTGTGAGGATGTCACAGGACCAGGCAGTGTTTCATTCTGTTGTGCATGGGGTTGCTGAGTCAGAACCAACTAGACAGCACCTAACAACAACAATGTGATGTTAATAAGGCAGGATTAGAGGCAGTTATGTTAATGAGGTAAGATTCAATCTACAAGATTAGGTTGTATTTTGAGTCAATCTCTTGAGATACAAAAGAGAGAATCGAGCAGGAGAGGGACCTGATTTTCACCAAGCAAGAAGAGCCAGGAGCGGAGCATGTCCTTTGCTGAGAAGCTCCTAGACTAGGGAAAGATTGATAACAAGGATCTTCCCCTAGAGCTGACAAAGAGATAATGCCTTCCCTTGGAGCTGGCACCCTGAATTTTGACTTCTAGCCTCCTAAACTGTGAGAGAATAAATTTCTGTTTGTTAAAGCCATCCACTTGTGGTGTTTCTGTTATAGCAGCACTAGATAACTAAGACATATGTATATAAATAAATGTATGCAAACACACATTAAATAACAAAATCTAAATGCTACTGTAATTGCTAGGTCTAATTTCTACTGAAATTTGAAGCAGTGATCAATATAAAATGATATTTTGATACATCTGCAACAACTATAAAGTAACATAAAAATAATTGTGATTTCTATTTGTGACCAAGTCACAGTACTTTTGATCCTTCCATGGTTTCATGTCTATATTCACAAGTGAAAGCATTACTAAATTTCAGTTACAAGTTTATGAAAATAAAGATGTAATTTTTCCCCATATCGGCCCATAGACCCTCTGAATTCTATCCACAGACTCCTTGGAGGGCCATGGGGCCCAGGTTAAGATCCTCTGAGATATCATCATCATCTGCATGAAGCAAGCTATGTCATCTTCTCATTCTGCTTCTAGATTCTGACTCTTAGCGACCCTATAGAACAGAGTAGAACTGCCCCATAGAGTTTCCAAGGCTGTAAATCTTTATGAAAGCAGACTGTCACATCCTTCTCCTACAGAGCAGCTGGTGGGTTTGAACAGCCAACCTTTCAGCTAGCAGCCAAACACTTTAACTACTGTGCCACCAGGGCTTCTTTGAATGGACAGTTGCACATCTGAAATTTTAAGGATCAGACTAGAAAAGGGCACACATCACATTTCCTCCTACTCCATTGGTAAGAATTTACTCGTTGGCCACCCCTAATACCTAGGGAGCCTGGGAAATGTAGCCTGGCTGGACAGCCACATACCCAGCTACAAATCTATTACCATGAAAGACCAGGAGATAGATTCTTGTGTCCAGAAGGCACTTTGCCCACTTTATAAAAAGGGAATTTTAACAAGCCAGAGAATTGATCCTGAAATTGGGATAAATCCCCAAATACAAAAAAACAAAAACAAAAACCCTCCAATCAATTACCATTATGAGGCCATGGGGACTGCTGGAGAGAGTGATAAATGCCCCTGGAACTGGAACAATCCTGTAAGTAGAGCATAATGGTTTCAAGTCAGTAAATTCCTTCAGCACCTCAAAGTAATCCCACCTTTGACTGCGGCTGCGATTGCTACCTTCCCTTACTGCATTGCAATCTCTTTTCCCATAGAGATAAAATAGCTTTATAAGACAAGAGGCTTGGTACATTTGTGGATACACTTTTTAGTGGACATAATCATGGTGGTGGAGTGGTCATTTTAGCACCTTTTTCCTAAACAGCATTTTTCTCTATGACACAGAAAGATAGACTAACATGTTTCTTAGCTCTCCCTTATTCACAACCACATTGCTTTTTTTTTTTCACATTCCTCATTTCTTTCTGAGCCATTATCAAACCACACTTAATGTCCATATTTCTACAAACAGTTTCTTTAAGGCAATCTAGGCTCTTACCATCAAGCACATTAAAACTCCTCCAGCCTCTACACATTACTCAATGCAAAAATCACTTCCACATTTTAGGTATTTGATGGATCAACACCTGACTCCTGGCATCAAATTCTGTCTTAGTTACCTAGTGCTGCTATAACAAAAATATCACAAGACAGTGGCTATAAATAACATAACAAAAGACGTAAAGAATGTAACAAAAAAATAAAACATAACACGCTATTCCCAAACAGGGTCAAATTCACAGGTACAGGGGTCAGAATTACAACGGAACTTTTTAGGGGGTGCAAATCAATAGCCTTCTTATATTTCCTCACTGTCACCTCTCAAGTCATCCAAATCCCGGCCTCCCAAAAAAAAAAACCAAGCCTGTTGCCATTGAGTTGATTCCATCTCATAGATTCCATCTCATAGTGACCCTATAGGACAGAGTAGAACTGCCCCATAGGGTTTCCAAGGAGTGGCTGGTGGATTTGAACTGCCAATCTTTCAGCTCTTAACCAGTGTGCCACCAGGGCTCCACAGATCAGCAGTTCGAATCCACCAGCTGCTCCTTGGAGACCCTCTAGGGCAGTTCTACTCTGGCCAGTATGTCTTTATCTAATCATAATGACTTATTTCCCATCCAAAATGAAGATCAGGAGACTACAAAACAGGGTGACATTGCTGACATGCTTTGAAGATAAATTTCGGATATAAACAGAAGTTTTTGATAACAAGGTGGCCCAGTGAGTTACTCAACAAAAATGGCTTAACTAGGAGCAGCACTTGAAAGTGTTGGTAGAAAACACATTCAAGTATTTCACTTTATCCTTAAATTGCATCTCTGACTAGATACTCTTTCACCCCCCAATGAGGGTCACATAGTTCACCACTCCAGAAGTGGTTTCCTTCCCTGAAGTTCCCATAAAACTTAGCCACCCAGTAAATTTTCCCAGAATTTTGTCAGGAAGTGAGTTTAGCATCCAGATTTTTAATTCTATCCCAATAAGTTCAGATAGCCCTCTTCAGGGTCAACTCTTCCCAGGATGTTGCAACTTCTTTGTGCCCAGGACTCAATCTTTCATGTCTGACACTTTTGCTCCAGGCTATTATCAGAGTGAGCAAAACTGTTATAAATGAGAAGATATAGGGATGGGTTCACATAACAAGACTGCTCCCTCCACTCCCCGCTCACCCATATCAATCAGCTGGAGCTCTGCTCCCACTGCTATTCCTTTCTCCACTGCTGCAGACCTCTTGAGCTCTGTCTTAGTCATCTAGTGCTGCTACAACAGAAATACCACCAGTGGATGGCTTTAACAAACAGAAGTTTTTTCTCTCACAGTCTAGCAGGCTAGAAGTCCAAATTCAGGGCATCAGCTCCAGGGGAAGCCTTTCTCTGTCAGCTCTGGAGGAAGGTCCTTGTCATCAATCTTCCTCTGGACTAGGAGCTTCTCTGCACAGGAACCACACGTCCAAAGGAGACGCTCTGCTCCTGGTGCTGCTTTCTTAAGCTTTCCCTGTCTCTCTACTTGCTTCTCTTTTTTATATCTCAAAAGAGATTGGCTCAAGACACAGTCCAGTCTTATAGATTGAGCCCTACCTCATTAATATAACTGCCGCCTATCCCACCTCATTAACATCATAGAGGTAGGATTTCCAACACATAGGAAAATCACATCAGATGACAAAATGGTAGACAATCACACAATACTGGGAATCATGGCCTAGCCTATCTGATACATGTATTTTTGGGGGACACAATTCAATCAATGCCATTCCACCCTTTTGCCCCCCAAAATTCATGCCCTTGCCACGTGTAAAACACATTCACCCCATCATATCATAGCAAAAGTCTTAAATCAACTCCAAGTCCAAAATCCAAAAATCCCTCTTCATCTGTGAAATCTAGAATACAAGTTATCTCTTTCAAAATACCATGGTAGAACAGACACAAGCTAGACATTTCCATTACAAATGGGAGAAACTGGAGGGAAAAAAGGGATAACAGGCACCAAGCAAATCAGCAGAACCAGGAGACCAGCGCCAGACAGCGTTGGAACCAACCCACAGAGCCAGAGAGCTGAGTGCTTTTGCACAGGAGTGGTGTGCCTCCAGGCACTTATCGGTGGAACTAGGCTTGCCAATCCACAGAGCAAGAGAGCTGAGTGCCTCCCGGCAGAAGTTTACTGGTGGAGTGGGGTGCCTCCAGGCACTTATTGGTGGAGCTACAGAGCTTTGGAACACTTGTTCCCATAGGGTAGACACAGGCAGAGAGGCCCAAGGGGCTGAGAGATCAAGGAACCGGGAAGCGAAAGCTGAAGAGACAAGCAACACAGGAAGCAGAGCTGCCTCAGTCTCAAAGGGTATGGCCACAACCTCTGAGGTCACAAAGGGTGGAGACATGGCCTCTGGAGCTTCTAAGGGTGGAGTTGCCACTCAGATGGACTAGGAGAATTTTGTCAGGCGGTGAGTTTAGTGGCCAGATCCTCAATTCTCTCCTAATAAGTCCAGATAGCCCCTTTTCAGGGTCACCTCTTCCCAGGGGGTTGCAACTCCTTAGTGTCCAGAAGTCAATCTTTGATGTCTGACACCTTCGCTCCAGGCTATTATCAGAGTGAACAAAAGTGTTCTACATGAGAAGATATAAGGATGGGTTCACATAACAAGACTGCTCCCTCCACTTCCCACGCCCCTACATCAATCAGCTGGAGCTCTGTGCTTCCACTGCTATTCCTTTCTCCACTGCTGCAGACCTCTTGGGACCCAAGAAGAGGAAACAGACACAGACTCTCTGCTCTTCAGACATATGTACTAATCCCCACAACGATCAGTGACTTGAAAATCTGAATAGGGTAAGTTAGAAAGATTGATGCTAAACACGCTGTGGGAGAGACTCAGGAAAGCACCAGGGTCTTGACTGAACTTTTAGATGGTAGACATAAGAATGGAAAATGATCTAACTGGTAGGAAGCAAAGGCCTGAAATTCAACCTGGCATTAATCCTACTGATACAGGCACTCCCTACCGCCTTTAGTAAAGCAGCCTGAATTCTGTTCTCCTCATCCTGTTTGGGCCCTTAATGGCCAGGGACAGGATTTCACAAAGGAGAAAGAGGAGAAAGTGCCTACCCCTGTTTCTGTGCCTGACATGCATGCATCTCATTAGATTCTCACAGGTCTCTGAGGAAGTGATGAATAGGCCCATTGAGGACACTGATGCTCAGAGTGTTGAGACTCAGGTTAGTGGTTCACTAGAGATGGGTACACTCTACATAGTAGATGAACACAGAGGGGCTGGTTTCAGGGGAGACTTTTTGAAACAACTCTGCAGCCCATACTTTGGCTAAAGCAGCTTCTGTGAGGGCAGTTTCAGTCTTGGGACTTGATTGGTCAGAGTAATATTTCAAAACTGGAGTCTTTCACAAAGCCATTCTCAACTGATAGCTCAGACAAACCAAGATAACAATATAACTATGGTAATTAGGGAAATGGGCCCTGAGAAGGGATATGAGCAGTTAGAAGTGATAATGTGTTTCACACATGCTTTGGGGGAAGTGTTATGAGGAAGTTGAGACCAGATAAGCACAATTACGCAGAGTCAGTGTAACTGCAGCCTGGGATGTGATTGCAGGGAACCCAAATCTTCCTGCCCAGAAAATACCTCCCAAATAGTTACTCATCTTCTATTTCCCTTAAAAGGTGACAAGCCTTTCCGCTTCACAGACAGAACGTTTAAAATGCCATTCTCTTTTGGACTCACACTCTCCTGGGAGTTGATCTGGGGGATAAAAAGGAGCTAGCTGGAGGGCAGTTGGTTGGGTGCAAGAGAGGACAGGCAGGAAATGTTTGGAATTCTCAAACTTCATCTGTTTTTTACAATGTTGTGCTTGGCTGACTAGGACTACAGCCTGTTTTCAGTTCTTAAAAACTTTATTATCTAATGAGACTTTTCGTGTTCTAGTCTGGGAACCAAATAGTGAAATTGGGCCTGTATTGGCAGGGAAAGAGATTTCAAGATAGAGCTGAGCCTTCCGGGCAGTGTCTAGATAAGGCTTTCTTCTCTCTTCCTTGCAGACCTGCAGGTGGCCCTGGTGACTTAGATGGCATCTTCTCTAAAGGTCCTGGGCCCTGTCTTGCTCCTACTGTTCCCCCTGTGGGAGCAGCTTATACATGGCCAGCACCTCTCCCGGAGGGAGTTCATGAAACAGCACCACCTGAGGCCAAGCCTGGAATTCAGCCAGTACAAATGTGATGTCCTCATGAGGGACATAGAGGGTCTGAAAGAGAAGGACTCTCACATTTTCCTCTATACCCCATGGCATCAAATTGAGAGTATTTGTTTTAAGACCTTGAGAGAGCGGTACAGAAATGTGTACGTGTGGGCCCAGCAACCCTTCAAAGTACTCAAGTGTAAAAGGAAGAATTTCAGTTATAGCTACAGAGAGAAAAGGAGCTACAGCCACATTGAATTCCACTGTAGCATGAAAGGGTATGTTGATAGCATAGAGGACATGCGTGTGCTAGAGTTTACTGATACCTAGAAAGTCTACCCACCTCCCTAGGTTTTAGTGAACTGATCTGTCCCCAAGTGGTGGGCCCTGCCTACACCAATAGCTGTTGCCACTCTCCATTTTGCCCTTTATATGTCAACATTTTCAAACTACTTAGAATTATGCACCACACTGTTTTTTGATACTATAACTTTACCTAAGCTGTTTCTCTGCCTGAAATACCCTTCTGTCCTCATTGGCCTGATTTACTCCTACATTTTTTTTCAAGATTCAACTCATGTGGCATCTCTTCTTAACTAACCCAGGACTTTTCCTAATATTGACTCTCCTTATGCCTACCCAAGTCACATAAACTTCCCTTCCCTAAATAAATTGTATCATCCTAATGTGTGTGAGATTTATATGTGATGTGTGCAGAGTATGTGTTGTGTGATTGGTATGGGTGCATGTGTGATGTAGATTATGCTTGGATATGATATGTGCTGTGTGTAGGTTTAAGGTGTGTTGTATGTGTGTGCGTGTCTAATGTGTGTGATTGTTTTATGTTTATGATGAGTGTGTGAATGTTTATGTGCTAAGCTGGGCACAAGTTGTGACCAGGTATTGTGCTAGGCATTGATTGTGGAGACATGCTAAGTTCCATTTAGATTGAGGGTGGGGGTGGGCAGAGCTGACTGAGTATAAAATATGTAGCATAATTCCTGGCCCATAGTAGGTGCTTAGTCAAAACTGGTTTTCTTTTTTTCCTATCCTTTGGCTTGGTACTTTAATTTTGACTTTAAAAAACAAACATAACAAGTGTCCACCCATCATCTGCTCTCTCTGGTTTAAGAAGTAAGGATTTCTAACACAAAAAACAGTAGGCTGTTACTCTGTGAAGAAACTATAAACTTCCAGAGTCAAAAAGAGCCCTTCCTCCATCAGCCACAGACTAGTAGAGCTCCCTACTGAACTGTTTCATTAAAACATCTCTAAGGAGGCATGTGCATTCCTAGGGGTGAAACATTAAGTAGAAGACAGTAGCACAAATGAATTCATCTAATAATACCCATTTTCACTTGGGAGGGAAATAATGTAGGGTGGGAGTACTTTAAAATGCAACACCCCTCAAGGATGGGGCTTAAAATTGTTAATATTGTTGGAGGGAAGTGGAAATAAATGGATGCAAGTAGGTAGAGACCATGAGAATTTTGTTTGCTGTGTGGATGTATTTGTTTCCTGAGGTTGCTATAACAAAGTACCAAAAACTGGGTGGTTGAAAACAACAGAAATTTATTCTCTCACAGTTCTGAAGGCTAGGAGTCTGTAATCAAGGTGTGTGCAAGGACACGCTCTCTCTGGAGGCTCTAGGGGAAGAATCATTTTTTGCCTCTTTAGCTTCTGGTGGCCCCAGGCATTCCTTGGCTTTTGGCTTCTGTCTTCACATGGCTGTCTTCTGTGCATGTCTGTCTCTGTGTGTCACTTCTCCTCTTTTTATAAGGACACCAGGCATATGGGATTAAGGCCCACCATACTCTCCTATGACTTCATATTAGCTAATTGCATCTGCAAAGACTATTTCCAAATAAGGTTACATTCACAGGTACCATGGCTTAGAACTTCAACATATCTTTTTAGGGAAGGAAAAATAACCTATAACAATGGCGGGGAGAGAAGGATCAAACCAGTAGAGAGGTAAGAAAGAATTTGTTTCTTATAATTTTGCCTAGGGCAGGTATAGGGAGGGACAAAGTTAAATATTAAAATTCTTTGCATTCTTCAGCCTCCAGCAATGTCAAATGACTCTAGCCTTGAAATAATTAGAGACTGGACCAAAATATTAACACTTTCAGTTAGGTGGTGGCGCACTCTTATAGAACTCTAGCCAGTGAATCTAGGTTGGGCCATGTTTCAAGGGAATTTCCTCAGCTTTGAGATTTCTTAGTGCACCTGTGGATGAGCAGACACTTGGGAAGTCATCTATACCAACCAAACTCACAAGGGATTGATGGTAATCCAGTAATTTTTCATCAATTATCAATTTACATGTAGATAATACTGATTGTTTTTCTCACTTGGTAAATACTGCTTCAAAATGTAGGTTTACACAAATACCTCATTTTGAAAACTTTCTAAAAGTTGTTTTTTATTGAAGGGTTAGCAGATGGCAGTTCAAAACAGTATACAAGGATGTATGTACTTTAAGGACAATCCATATAATAACTGTGTGTTACCTTGACTTTCCCAGTATCCACTTCCCTTATTCAGATACCTGCATATTTGTTTTCCTTGGGGAACTATCTTTCTCTTTTGTGTGCAGTATTGGTGGGACTGACATCAAGGCTCCCAGTCTCCTCTCCTGAGCCAAGTGGTGGTCATGAGACCCAAGTGAGGCTAACTGGACTCTCTCCTGGGAGTCTGAATCTCTGCATCTCTGATGCAAGAATAAAAAATAAAACAAGCAAACAAGCCTAACAATAACAGTTCAAGCTGATTAATGTCCGTGAGGCCCTGCTCTTCAGCTTGAGCACCCAAGCTTCTTGAGTGTCAGCCTATTTCCAAAGACTGATTAGTCATCTTTATTTTTTCATATTGTACTCTCTCCCACTCCCACCATCCCTTAAAAATTTTCTCTTTAAGTTAACTCAAATTAACTTGTGTTGCTTGCAATCAAAATACCCTAAGGGATATAATCTACCTGCAATATTTGTGATCCTCACTATCACCAGTATGACCATGCCAAAAAATTACACCATCCAAATTTTGGGATCTGCTATACACACTAAGTGCCTATCTTATATGAAACATCAAACTTATTTAACCAATTGCTGTCAAGTTGCCCCCGACTCATGGTGACCGCATGCATAATGGAATGAACCCTGCCTGGTACTGCGCCATCCCCATGATCAGTTGCTCATCAGACAGTTGTGAGCCATAGGATTTTCTCTGGCTAATTTTCAGAAGTAGATCACCAGGCCTTTCTTCCTACTCCATCATGATCTGGAAGTGCCACTAAGCCTGTTCAGCCTGACAATGGAGTATTATTCAGCCATAAAGAGACATGAAATCCTGATACATGTTACAACATGGATGAACCTTGAAAACAGGCGAGTGAAATATGTCAGTCACAAAGGGACAAATATTGTTTGATCCCACTTATATGAAATACCTAGAATAGACAAGTGTATAGAGACTTGGATCCCTGGTGGCACAGGTTAGCTATGGCTGCTGACCAAAAGGTAGGCAGTTTGAATCTAGCAGCAGCTCCTTGGAAACACTATGGCACAGTTCTACTCTGTCCTATAGGGTCACTGTGCGTCGGAATTGACTCGACAGCAATGGATTTGGTTTGTTTTGGTAAAGAGACCTAAGTAAGGGTGATTAAAAAATTTGGAAACAGATAATGGTGATGGTTGAACAACAAGGTAAGCATCATTAATGTCACTGAATTGTACATGTAAAGAATGTTGAAATGACAAATGTTACATATATATTTACCACAATTTTTTTTTAAAAGGATGCATACTGTCATGAATTGAATTGTGTCCCCAAAAAATATCTGTCATCTTGGCTAGGTCATGATTCCCAGTATTGTATGATTGTCTACCATTCTGTCATCTGATGTGATTCCCCTATGTGTTGTAAATCCTATCAACATGATGTTGATGAGATGGATTAGGCAGTTATATTAATGATATCTACAAGATTAGATAGTGTCTTAAGCTAATCTCTTTTGAGATATAAAAGAGACAAGCAAGGAGAGAGACTTGGGAACCTCATACCACCAAGAAAGCAGCACCAGGAGCAGAGTGCATCCTTTGGACCTAGTGTTCCTGTGCCTGAGAAGCTCCTCAACCAGGGGAAGATTGATGACAAGGACCTTCCTCCAGAGCTGACAGAGAGAGAAAGCCTTCCCTTGGAGCTGATGCCCTGAATTTGGACTTCTAGCCTACTAGACTGTGAGAGAATAAATTCCTCTTTGTTAAAACCATCCTCTTGTGGTATTTCTGTTATAGCAGCACTAGATGACTAAGACACATACCTCTAACAAAGTCTGTTAATCCCCAGTGGGTCTAGTAGATAACCCCCAGCACTCCAGTGAAAGGACACCTGGTGATCACTTTTGCCCAGTTCCAAGTCTTAGACAATTTTTTCCTTCAGAAGATGGAAAAATTGTGATTTTTGTAAGAAACATGTATAGTTTCTCAAGATCATTGTGGAAAGGAGGAAGGAGGGAGTGGTAAGAATTAGCATGACCTAGCAATTGGACAAAAAATGACATCACACGCACATGCCCAAATTGACCAATGAGTTGGTGGTCAGGGGGCTCTTTTGAGTGTTAGGCTTCAGCTCTGCAGAAACAATAAAACTAAACTTCACAAAGAAACTTGTACTTCCTCACTTAGAGCCAGCCTCGACCTCACTGTCCTGGCCACTCACTGGCCAGCTGCTAGACACAGAAGAAGCTCAGCAGCCACAGAAGAAGCCATATCCTGAGAGGCAGTCAGCAAGCGTATAAAGGTCTAGGGAAAGGAATAGATCAAATAGCAGAACCTAGACCTAATCCCTTACCAGGAGTTTGGAGGGAAAGCAGTGTGTTTGAGTAGATGCTCTATAAGGGACACACATCAGATGCCCTGAACTTGCTTTAGTACTGTAGTGCTACAACAAGGGCCAAGTCAACCAACAGAGTCCATTCCCTACTCAGACAATTCTAAGTGTTGGGATAATTTAAGAGAGAGATGAGAGGTAGACTCCCCTGTTCATGTCCTCCTCCATCTGCCCTACTCTTAACTCAGGGTGGCAAAACAGGAATCCACCTAACTGAATCAAGACAAAGTGGAGACTTTATCCCAGGTATCTGGTAGAAGCCCAGTCTTGAAAACTAGGGCATCTAGTGAGAGTCAGTGACAGCCAAGAACAATGGTTCTCAACCACACTGAGGCTTATTAAACAGAGACATGCAAATACCTCTCTCCCCAAGATTCTGATTCAGTAGGTTCGAGAGGTATCCTGACATTTTTAAAGTTCCATAGGCAATTTCTGATGTGAGGCCAGGATTGAGGACGCCTGCCTAGGGACATGGCAAAACTGATAACATTTTCCTGTCATAGTGGACTTGAGGTACTATCAAGTTGTGGAACTGCAGAAAGAGGAGGGACTGACCTACTACATCTGGCTGTAGCATAGGGTATAAGATTGCCAGGCTAACAGCCATCAACTTTTATCCTGTAGCTAACTGGAGCATTTGGGCAAGGGTATTACCCTACTACATCTATGTTCAAGGGAGACTAGTCTTGAAGTAATACGTAAAAAACATTGGAAGCAAAAGAACTAGAGTCAGGGAGTCCACATAGGAGACTTTTATGTGAGCCCTCATGAGGTATCCAAGAAAACCAAACTCACTGCCATTGAGTCAATTCCAACTCATAGCGACCCTATAGGACAGAGTAGAACTGCCCCATAGGGTTTCCCAGGAGTGGCTGGTGGATTAGAACTTCTGACCTTTTGGTTAGCAGCCAAATGCTTAATCACTGTGCCACCAGGACCCCCTCATGAGGTAATGAGGTTCTAAATACAAGGATTAACAGCACTAAGGGAAAGTTAAGAACAGATTCAAGAGTCACATACCCTAAATTTGCCCTTCTCCTTCATGTTTCTGGGCCTCTCCACATATAATCTCTTCTTTTTAGAGTGCACTTACTACCCTCTTCACCTAGCTAGCTTCTGATTCCTCAAAACTCAGTTCAGGTGTTGTGCCCTCCAATAGTGCATCTGGAAGAGGCTGCACAGGCCTGGCTCACTATTATTTACTCCCCATTGCTAACCACCACACATTGTCTCGTGATCTTGTTTCTCCATTCTCTACAAAAGGTTTAAGATTAACCGATGTTCCTCCTTGGAGGGTAGAAACAAGGGATAATGATCTAAGGATGAAAACCAAACAAAGCACCCATCTTGTGACAAGCAAAACCAGGATGTTGACAGATAATCCCCAAGGATGTCACCAGATAACTCCCAAGAATACCAGTAGAAGATTAACTCATCTGAGACATGACCACCTCAAGGGGAAACTAACACAAACTTCTAAGATCCATAATCCTGTCCCTACGAAAGCCTTCAGCCGATCTCCAGTGGGTGAGACGGGTTTTTTGGAGGAATCTATTCCTCTCTGTCACCTATATATCGACATATAATAAACATGTTGCTGCTCACCTCACCCCTGTCTCAGAATTGGCTATTGTCGCAGGCGTCTCCAATCCGCATTATTGCGGTAACACTTCCCCTCTACCTCATCACCTGGGATTTCCTCTACCACAACTGTACATTCTATCTATATTTATTAATATATATTGTAAATGTTTACTTACCTGTCTCTTTCATTAGATCTTGAACTCCTAAATCTGAGTAGGCCAGTACCTGACCCAATAAATGTATGGATAAATGAATAACTCATTCAAGTCTGTTGTTGAACTTACAACATTTCCAAGCAGGTGGCAGCTATTATACAAGAGTTACATGGTATATTTTCTTCCAAGGAACTGAAATCATAGAGCTTCAAAAAACTAAGCCTCGTATTACGAAGGAAGAACTCAACCGATAATCAGGAAGTCATCGGTTCCTCAAAATTGTGAGTTTTGCGTCACATGGTTTCTTAAAATGGACTTATTCTTCTGGTGTTTGCAGTAATATTGATACCACTTGAGAAAGCAATTTCGAAAGTCTAAAACTTTCATCCATGCTCTGCACAAAAAGTTCCTCTGCCAAGCCCTGGGTTTCCGTTTCCTGAGGCTCAAAACACTTCTTCCCCTGCCCTACATGGGCAGCTCAGACAGGTCCAGAGAAGAAAGATAGAAGACCTCTGAGCCTGGGACTAACAACTGCCTCCTTTCTCAGTAGGAGCCCCAACACCGAGATCTGGTAAGAGGAGAATCTTCTGGGCTGGGGAAAGAAAAGCAGTGAAGATGGGAAGTTATGGTCAAGTAGATCGAACATGAACACCTCAGAAGGTAAAGAGGGAAGAGACCAGGTTTTCGGCACAGGGGCCACTGAATATGTGAATACAGGACAAAGAGAAAAAAGGGAGTCTGCCACTCAGAGGAAAGGTCTGTTTATCACCTATTCCTCCTCACTGGGTTTCAGGTTCTTCATAGAATTGTGAGACTCAAGCGAGAAAGAAGATGGTTTAAAATAAGAGCCATAAAATCTTAAAAGACACACTAAAATCTAAATGGTTACAGTTAATAATTTCACTCTTTTTGCTTCTACTGTTAATATTATCTTCCTTCTTTCTACACAGAAAAGATGGTGCTAGATCTTCTGGGATGCTTTCCTCACCTCCTATTGCTGCTGGGAGTATGGGGGCCAGTGAATCCACTTTTTGCTTTGCCTAATATTATCACCAGGGCTCAATGGTTTAAAATCCAGCATTTACAGCCAAGTCCTCTCCCATGCAACAGGGCAATGAGTATTGTCAACAAATATACCCAGCACTGTAAGCCTGAAAACACCTTTCTTCATGACTCCTTCGAGAACGTGACTGCTATCTGTGACTTGCCCAGAATCATCTGCAAGAATGGCCGATACAACTGCCACAAGAGCCCAAGGCCTATTAACATGACTAATTGCAGCCTCACTACAGGAAATTATCCTAACTGCAGCTACAGCAATGCTGCCCTGTACAAGTTCTTCGTTGTTGCCTGTGACCCCCCTCAGCCGACAGACCCTCCCTATCATTTGGTTCCTGTGCACTTAGATAAGATCGTTTAAATTTTCTGTCACTTTTCCCCTCACTTGGCACAGGTTCTGTTATGATCTCTTCTGCTTTTTCTTTTCTTCTGTTGCTTTCCCTGGTTCCTACAGAAGGAAGAAGAAAGGTATTGGAAGAATTAGCCAGATAAGAGTTGGGACAAAGAGAAATAATTTTTCTCTCCTTTGGATCTCTGTGTGTTTTGAAGGAAGGCAATAGGAAAGAGGCAAAGAAGGGTCCAGGCCTCCAGATTTTTAAATTTGAGACTTTGCCAAGCTTTGCTGCACTGTATTCAAGGCAATAAAACCTCTTTCTGTGCATTCTAATGAGTGAGAGTGTGTTTGAAATCTTTTCACATCACTGCCAGCCTGGGCTTACCTAGGTTTACATTTGCCAGTATTTAAAGAGGAACTATTTTGGTCTTAGGTCCTTAGAACAACCTTTGAGTTTATTTAACTCCTTGGTGTCTTTGCCACTTCCTCATCCCTGCCTCTTCTGGGACTTTGGAGCAAGAAAGTCCTCCACTCCTTCATCTCTGCTCACAGACTTACGCATTTCCCTTGAAACTATAGTCTTTGTATGGAGGTGGCACTGATACGTTATAGTGATCTGATGAAAATTTTCACATACCGATTCTAACACTGTCAACAAAGGGTGCCAGATCTTTTCTATTTGTTTCTATATTTAATCAGGTAATGTTTTAAATAGAAAGCATAAATAGTAGTGAAGGAACCCTGGTGGTGCAACGGTTAAACACTTGGGACTAGCAACCCAGCCAGCGGCTCTGTAAGAGAAAAGATTTGGCAATCTGCTCCCATAAAGATTAGTCTAGAAAACCCTGTGGGGCAGTTCTACTCTGTTACATGGGGTTGCTATGAGTTGCAAGTCTACTCGATAGCACCTAAAAACAACAACGTTCATTGGATTTGGAAACAGAAGGACTAAGATTAAGAATTTGACTGGAATTAAGAATTTAGGTCCTAGGTTACTCTCACAGTGGGAACTTAGTTTTCTAGTCAACCTCTAGAGTTATCAGTGGGTTAGTGGCTGCTAGCCTAAAGGTTGGCAGTTCAAATATACCCAGTGGTTCCATGGAAGAAAGGTCTGGCAAACTGCTTCCTTAAAGATTAACCTGTTGCCATCAAGTCCATTCCAACTCATAGCGACAAAGTAGAACTGCCCCATAGGATTTCCAAGGAGTAGTTGGTGGACTGAAACTGCTGAACTTTTGGTTAGCAGCAGAGCTCTTAGCCACTGCGCCACCAGGGTCAGAATCAACTCGACAGCAAAGGGTTTCGTTTTTCTGGCAACAGGTTTCATTTTTCCATAAAGATTACAGCCAAGAAAACCCAAGAAGCAGTTCTATTCTGTAACACACAGGTTCCCCATGAGTCAGAATTGACTCAGTAGCAGTGGGAGTGGGCCAATGAAAGTCAAAGTGCTTTGTAGAGTGCCAAAGGCAATGCAGATTAGAAACAGCACATATTGAAGTTGTCACAAACTGGCCAATTACCTGTGCTCCAGAATGGTTCTTTCCAAACCAGACTATTCTTTTAATAGACATGCTAGTTAGGCTCATCATCCTTTATACCACACATTTATATCATGTTTTAGGAACAAAGAAGTTATGAGGTTTCAGGTTTCAGGAGACTGGATTCCATGGGTGATGGATGTTCAATGGCCCATCCATTCGGAAGATGTAAGCAGGCTAGGACAACACAGCACCTAAGAAGGTGGGTACACAACAGGGGAAACCGTATGGTGGGACTTGCGTCTTCTAACTCAGAGCAGTTTGCAATAGTATTCAGCTTTAAACTGTGTTGCATTTACATTTTGTAGTGTTGAAGTGTTACCACAATAACTCAGATTGGAGCCTCCTGTTGCAATAGCCGATTCTGAGACAGGGGTGAGGTGAGCAGCAAGAGTTTATTATATATCGATATATATGAGACAGAGGGGAATAGATTCCTCCAAAAGACCCGTCTCCCTCACTGGGATCGGCTGAAGGCTTTTATAGGGACAGGATTATGCATCTTAGTTTGTGTTAGTTTCCCCTTGAGGCGGTCACGTCCCAGATGAGTTCATCTTTTCTTGGGGGTTATCTGGCGATGTCCTGGTTTTCTTGCCCCAAGATGGGTGCTTTGTTTGGTTTGTCATTCTTAGATCATTATCACTTGTTTTCCACCCTCCAAAGAGGAACATGGGTTAATCTTAAACCTTTTGTAGAGACTGGAACCGGAGGGAAAGACAAGATCATGAGACAACGTGGCAGTTCCCAATGGGGAGTAAATAATAGTGAGCTGGGCCTATGCAGCCTCTTCCAAAAGTCTTGAAGTAAATTCTGTGGGGGAGTGGAGGAGAGGGTATGAACCAGTGTAGGCAAGTAGCAGCCTCAGAGAAGGGAATCTTCAGATAACATGTATTGACCTGCAGAATAGATTTATGTACCATTTAAGTTTTACCTGGAAATTTCCAGAAATCCTTGGAAAAGGTAACCTAATAAAAGACTGTACTTCCCTTAATCAAACAACTCAATTGCTCAGACTACTGTATTTACACATTAAAGGGGCCTCACAGGCTGAAGAAATCTGTGGGATCTGGGCTACAGAAATTTTTGAACTGTCAGGAATATCAAGGAAAATGAAATATTACTTAAAATTAGCTAGACAAATTAGGAGGTGTGCAATCTATCTCATTTTTTCCTGTGACCTTAAAAAATTGCAAATATTTTGCGAACAAAAGGTTAAAGACAAAAATACAAATACCAGTGCCATCTTGTGGCGAGGCTTGCAACAACAATATCTAATACTTCGCTTTCCCACACCAACCATCCCAACAATTTTAGACATTTTTTATCTCTGATTAAGGAGGAAGCAAAGATGGGCATAACTTTTGGACAATCTTTTATGCCCAAACTCTTAGAAGTGGAATAGACTGAGGTGGAAACTCCCCCAGATTTCTTTTCTGTTCTGAATATAATTAGGTGTTGTGGAAGAAGCCAAGATTATTGACTAAATCAGAAGCTCATTAGATATATCCCTAGATCAGCTTAAATCATCTGATGTCAATATAGAATGATTCAAAAGTAGCCAAAGCTTAGAAATGGATTCAGAAAATGTTCCAGCAGTTCTCGACTCTAGCTTCATGTTAGATTTACATGAGAATGGCAAAGTTATATTTTACTGGAGCCCTAGGATGCTGAAGAGCAACAATTATTTGAGCCTCCCCCAACCCCCACAACCCTTTTGTTCCAGAGAATGGCTTACTGTAAACTACTCCCCAAGAAGGATTTAACAAAAACTAACTCAAAATGGATCAAAGACTTAAATAGAAAATCAAAAATGATAAAGATCATGGAAGAAAAACTAGTGACAACGCTAGGAACCCTAATACATGGCATAAACAGAATACAAACCATAAGTAACAATACACAAGCACCAGAAGAGAGACTAGATAAATAGGAGCTCCTAAAAATCAAACACTTATGCTCATCAAAAGACGTCACCAAAAGAGTAAAAAGACAACCTATAGACTGGGAAAAAAATTTTGGCTATGAAAAATCCGATCAGCGTGTAATCTCTAAAATCTACAGGCTACTGCAAAACCTCCACAACAAAAAGACAAATAACCCAATTAAAAAATGGGCAAAGGATATGAACAAACACATTGCCAAAGAAGATATTCAGGTGGCTAACAGACACATGGAGAAATGTTCACAATCATCAGCCATTAGGGAAATGCAGACCAAAACTACAAAGAGATATCATCTCACCACAACAAGGCTAGCATTAATCCAAAAAACACAAAATAATAAATGTTGGAAAGGTTGTGGGGAGACTGGAACACTTATACACTGTTGGCAGGAATGTAAAATGGTACAACCACTTTGGAAATCGATTTGGCGCTTTCTTAAAAAGCTAGAAATAGAAGTACCATACGATCCAGCTATCCTGCTCCTTGGAATAGATCCTAGAGAAATAAGAGCAGTCACACGAATAGATATATGCACACCATGTTCATTGCAGCACTGTTCACGATAGCAAAAAGATGGAAACAACCTAGGTGCCCATGAATGGACGAATGGGTAAACAAATTATGGTATATCCACACAATGGAATCCTACACACCGATAAAGAACAATGATGAAGCCGTGAAACATAACATGGAGGATGCTGGAAGTCATTATGCTGAGTGAATTTAGGCAGTCACGGAAGGACAAATATGGTATAAGACCACTATTATAAGAACTCAAGAAAAGGTAGAAACACAGAAGAAAACATTCTTTGATGGTTAGGAGGGTGGGGAGGGAGGGGGAGGGTTACTTACTAACTAGACAGTAGATAAGAATTATCTTAGGTGGAGGGAAGGACAGCACACACTACAGAGGAAGTCAGCACAACTGGACTAAACCAAAGTTAAGAAGTTTCCTGAATACAATCAAACACTTTGAGGGACAGAGTAGCAGGGGAAGGGGTCTAGAGACCATGCTTCAGGGGACATCTAGGTCAACTGGCATAACAAAGCTATGAAGAAAATGTTCTGCATCCTACTTTGGTGAGTGGTGTCTGGGGTCTTAAGAGCTTGCAAGTGGCCATCTAAGATGCATCAATTGGTCCTAACCACCTGGAGTAAATGAGAATGAAGAACACCAAAGACACACGGAAAGTAGTAGCCCAAGAGACAGAAAAGGCCACATAAACCAGAGACTTCAACAGCCTGAGACCAGAAGAACTAGATGGTGCCTGACTACCACCAATGACCGTGCTGACAGGGAACACAACAGAGTCCCTGATGGAGCAGGAGAAAGATGGGGTGCACAACTCAAATTCTAGTAAAAAGACCATACTTAATGGTCTGACAGACTGGAGGAACCCCAGAAAGCATGGCCCCCGGATGCTCTATCAGCCCAGAACTAAAACAATTTCCAAGGCCAACTCTTCAGACAGGGATTGGACTGGACTGTGGGACACAAAATGATACTCATGAGGAGTGTGCTTCTTAGCTCAAGTAGATACATCAGACTAAACTGGCAGCTTCTCTCCAGAGGTGAGATGAGAAGACAGAGAGGGTTAGGAGCTGGTTGAATGGACGCAGGGTATCAGGGGTGGAAAGGAGGAGTGTGCTGTCACAGTATGGGGAGAGAAATTAGACTTATGCAACAGTGTATGTATAAATTTTTGTATGGGGAAAAATACAAAAACTAAAATAGTAGGCACACTAATTTGTACTATATGCTAATTCCAGCATTTGTGATTCAATATTTGAAGTATTTACAGTTTTCCACATTACTAGATCAGAAAAACACAGGGTCCAGAATGACAGCAGT